CCCCAAAACCCCAAAACCCCAAAACCCCTTTATAATTTAAAAGATTGATAAATTTGAGATTACAAATATTAGAAATGTTGACTGTAGAGAAGCAAGTCAAATGATTCCTTTATGTAATCTATCTTATTCTTCTTATCATTGCTTGCATTGTGGGAATGATACTGGTGATCAAATCCTTTGGAGAGACCAGAGAGACGAGGCTTGAAGTTTACGAAGACGACATTGAGCATTGGAACCTGACTAAAAGGGATGAGTTCTTGAATAATCAATTCTTGATTCAGTATGAAGACAATGGCAGCTTGGTCGATTCAGAAGGAAATCTAGCACAAATAACAGAAGAAAGTGTTGAGCATCAATTAATGGAGGATAAGCATGGGCCTTTACCTGAATATCTTCCTCTTTATTACTCCAAAAAAGAAAGTTCTAGTTGGTTCGGAATCAAAAATGCTTTTTCAAAATTCAACAGTTCAGAGATGTTGAAATTTAACATCACAGTTGAGGAGAGTCCTGAGAACCAGAGTATCTCTGTCCCTGAATTACCACTGTACAAAATAACAAAGATTAAGATGGCTGTTGCTTCCGGTTGTCATAGAACTCATGGGCATTATGAAGAAACTGGCAAGACATGCTACATCTACAGCATTCTTACCCACGCTTGTGTTCAGATTGATAAGGATGCTGGAGGAAAATGGTAAGGCCGTTTAACTTATTTTCTAGGCATTTGAATACTAACAAAAGAACCAAGGCTTTCGGGTGCTATTCACAGTATCATAATGCCACTAGTTACACAGTTGTCCCACTAGAGCCGGGACAGCGTATCGAAGATAAGTTCCCTTATACTCTGGGAGATATCACATGGGAAATTAGAAGTGCTTACGATCCACTTTTGTTAGCAGAAGTACTAACAGAGGACACAAATAATTTTGGACTTAGCTCAACCGAGCTTAGGTTCCTTGGTATCGGTCTTCTCTTTTGATGAGGAGGACTTACGATTCAGCCAACTTGCTGGATTTATAATCTGTGCAAACAAGGAAGAGATATTTACAATGCTAGAGCTAAAAGATCAATGAATTACAGAGAAGATTACTACATTGATGAATATGATCCTGGAAGATCAAACCACGGACTCCAGAGAGGGAATCCTCCAATTCAAAATTCAATCGAACCAAGTGGTGACCAAGGAATAGGCCTCCAGAACGTGATGGACGAGATTGAATTAGAAAAAGGCAAAGCTGAAAAAACATTCAATAGGTCGAAAATGAACCATTTCCCTAAAAGAGTCAAAAAGAAGGGAGATTATGAGTCATATTACGAATAATAAGCCAATTCTATAAACCTTAAAAGTTTAGGGGTTTTGGGGTTTTGGGGTTTTGGGGTTTTGGGG